CCCCCCCGAGAACACAGGGAAAGGCAGAACTGGAGCACTAAGGATGAACCAACCACCCATTGAGTTGAGTGTTAATTATACTTGGCAATACCACTTTCAGTACAATTTATTAATTAAAAGATGGTCAGTGTAACAAGGACATGACATATTCATTTATAACTCAAGGAAGCAAGGGAAAGGCCCCTTAGAGTTGTGAACAATCCAAATCACACTTCCTGTAACCACGGTACTCAAGTAGTCGGTCAAGTCCAACAACCTCTAGCAGGAGGAAACTGAGGGGTCTGTCTCTCAGGTAACAAAGCCGTTTTATTGCAACGGATCAAAGATCATTTTCTTTGCTAGCACACAAAGAATGATGCCAAAGTCCAGGGGTTTTAAATATATAAAAACTGGTCCAGACAGGGGAAAAAAACTATGTTGTCAAAGAAACGTTATCTCTTATAAAGCTGGGACATCTGGGGTTATGTTAGTCTTGGACTATGTACCAATTCCTCTTCCCAGACATTAATCACTTTTCTATACCAAATTAAGATGTGCAGACCCAAACGTTTATTCAAGACAAACAAACATAATTTCACCATGGAGGTTGTCTCTAGGCTACTCTCGGTAAAGACCAAGAACACATGTTTAATTTAGAGGGAGATCTTCCTCAAAGAAAAACATCAGCCTCAGAAGATTTTACCAAAATTACCAGTTTTAAAAAACAAACTGACTTGGGAAAAGGAATAAAAACTAATGATAAAAAAATGAACTTACCCAGAAGTGACACAGGCTGGGTTACAGGAGGGGTGGGCAGACTCGTGGGTGCGGCGGGTGGCACGGCAGAGCCATACATTTTCACACTGTCACNAAAACCAACTGACTTGGGAAAAGGAATAAAAACTAATGATAAAAAAATGAACTTACCCAGAAGTGACACAGGCTGGGTTACAGGAGGGGTGGGCAGACTCGTGGGTGCGGCGGGTGGCACGGCAGAGCCATACATTTTCACACTGTCACCAGACTCGGCGTTTCCTCTAGCCCCAGACACCACTGTTGGAATGGGATTTCCAATAGATAAGTCTTTTGTAGTGTCTTCATTTATACCAGCGATAGTAGCTAAGGAATATAATTACATCAACATGTGAAGCTGAATAATTAATTACCCCCCACCCACAGACTCTTGCCACACTCTAGACCCTATTACTAATCCACTCTCCCTCCACTCCCGACTCCAAGAGGAGAACTGAGCACCAAGGAAAACATGCTTACAGTTTGAGATGCTTATTGGTGGAGTGTGAGGAGGAGGAATGGACACTGGTGGAGTTATAGGAGGTGGGGGTCCAGGAGGAAGAAAACCTAGAATGAGAGAAACAATGTCACTCAGGCTGCATCAATTTATCTCAGACTCAAAAACAATGTCTTCTCTAACCACTTGGTGTACCTGGTGGTAAATGCATTGGGTTGAATCCTGGGCGTAAAAATGGCGGTGGCGGTGGCGGCGGAGGAACACCGGGACCAAAGCCCGGAGGAGGAATTCCCATGGGAGGCGTGAAGGTGGGTGGCTGGAGAGCACCGACCACAGGAGGGCCTGGCTGATGTGGTGGGACCTACAGAGAAAGGAAGGAGGAAATGCAGCCACACATCTAGCCATCCTCCCAATCTTGTTGAAAAAAACAGATGTTTCTAAATTTGTTCTTATTATGTGAATAAATTAGAAAACAGGTGGTACCTGTGCCTACCCTGAACGACAGAAATCAAAGTTTGCTCTCTACTTTATGACAGCAGGTTCACACTGAATCTCACCGGCATCTGTTGGTGAGCTGACAGAATAGGACATTAAAAGATGTGCCATGATCAGGTCAGTAATTCTGCAAATGTAATTCTAAGAAAAGCTATCTGAAAAGTTTCAGGGATTCAATACCAAGGTCAAACTGCTCGGCCAGTTCTGTGACCCCGAGCAAGTGCACACTCTCTAGACCTCAGTTTATTCATCTGTAAAATGGAAAGTACCAACCTCACATGGGGATTAAAGAATTAATACATGTTAAGTGCTAGTGCCTGGCACTTTAATAAACATCCCAAAGATAAATATTTGCTATTGTTTAAAAAAAGTATGATAGATTTTAACAGATTAGCGAGGTTTCCTCAGCAAGTGCTGATAAACTTGGATCTCATTTACAACTCAAACCGAGGGGCACATCCAAAAGGTCAGCCTTAGAGTGACAACGTAGAAGGTCCTTTTATAAAATGTCACAGCTGAAGTGAGAGCTTAGGTGACCCACTTTGTGTTAGTGCAGATTCACCTAGTCAGATTTAATGTGAGAAACAGAACTGAAGGCATTGAAAGACAAGAAAAATCTAGATCATACGTAAACCATGGGTCAACCATTTATAATTTTAACCCAAAGGTCTTTTATTTAGATTACGTAACAGGAAACCTGCTGAGTATTTAAGATACATTACCTCATTGAATCCTCAGAACCACTCTGACTTAGGAAGCACAGCAGAGCCAGAGCCAGGAAAGGGAATGCGCATATTACAGACAGGAAAGGAAGCCTGCCCAAGTCACACTGCTGAATCAAAGTGCAGCTGGGATTCAAACCCTGTTCTGCCAGAATCCAGACCCTCTAAGAATATACCTTCATGTTAAATAGCACTCTATTTATTTTTAAAAAAATTCATGATAGCACCACCCAAACTGAAGATGTAGAAACCATCTTTCCCTGGAAACAGCTGCTTGTTAGGTATAAATCGAAGCTCCCTCAGAACATAAGTCCATATAGAACAAAGATCTGATAAGAAAACAAGGTAAGAGTAAAAAGAGTAGAAGGAAATCTTAACAGGTTTGCACCTCCAGTCTGAAACACCATAATGTAAGATATTCGGTAATCTAGACAGATGTGAGGCAGCATGAGAGCATTCTGGCTTTATTAACATCATTTAAGAATGTGTTACAGAGCTTATCAACAACAGGTTCAATGTACCAAAAGATGACAAGTTAGTAACGTACATTTATGTACTAGTGAGTCTTTGAGTACAAGTCTACACGTACATCTACAGTAAGATTTGGAAAGGTGTGTTTCAGGAACTTGAGAGTTTAAGTAATGTCTGGAATGTTCTCACCTGTGGAGGAGGCACTGTTATAGGTGCGGGAACAGGAATAGGAGGCACAGGCACGGGCAGAGGCTTCGGTATGGGTGACACTGGTTCTGTGTGTGAGCTTTCTGCCCCTCCATTCTGAGCAACTTCATTTTCATGCTTCTTGGGAATTCCTTTCCAATCTATGGGAGTTAAGGAAATTTAACAGAAGCTTACCATGTTCAGCTCATAACTTTAAATCCAAATAATTTTTTATTAAATGCTGATTACAATAAAAACCAGCAGTCTGATGATATTAAAGAAATGCCTATGCCAATCTTATAAATATTTAAATTATCAAACATGCAAAACAACAGGCTCACTGTGTGCCAGGCACTTCATGTATACTGAGCAATCTAATCCTCAGAACCACCTGTAACTGGTTCCTAATGATTATTCCCCCCAGGTTACAAATGAGGAAAACAAAGACAATCTGTTCAAGGTAGCACACTAGTAAGCAGCAGAGATGCAACCCCACCTAGACACACCTGGCTCTCGTGTGTTCTTATTTGGACAGAGGATTGGGGAGGGAGCAGCAGGGTCTCCCTCTGGACCACAGCCTCCCAGAATGCCTGGCACACAGCAAACTTGAACTGTTTGCCTGAGCAGACAGCTATGTGTGTGAATGAGGGCATCCTGCATTGTGGGAGGGGTCTGATCTGGGAGCAGTCAGTAAAGCACGGTCCACTACCCTTGGGCTCTCCAGCCACAGCTCCTGCGGACACTTCCTCTATACCTTCACCCTACATGCCACGCCATCCCGTGCTCCTCCCGCTTCAGGCTACCTGCCCATCTCCAGGTCATGCCCATCCATGCTGCCCCTCTCCCTACTTCAACCCCACTGTCAACTTGGCATTTCTGATAATCCTGACCACGACTAACTGCATCTCCTCGCCATACACATTTACTTTCCACTGCTTCTCTGGACACTTAAATATTTTCAAAGAAATTATTGTGCAGCATCAGATAAAAACACAGTATCAATGACACTCAGTTCTGGACTCATCTGATCTGTCCCACCCCACAGTTAGTAGTTATTTAGCCTGGACCTGCATCTTCCCCTGAATGTAAGGTGAGGAGCAAAGGCCACGTCTGTCGTATTTCCTGCTGTTTCCTCGGTTTATACAGAGAGATTGGCACCTGGTGGGCAGTTGAAAAATCTCAAAAACCACTGCCTAATGCAAATAAACATCTGTCACACATACCACCAGGAACATGCATGGAGTTTTAAAGACATGAGGTGCTGCTTTACCTGGATTCAGTGTGTCACTGTCCAACATGCCTCCCTCACAGAAACTCTCCAGCTCTTCAGGCTTGACTTTGTCCCAAGGAATGTAAGTAACACCAAGCTCCACGTCCCAATACTGCTTATAATCTGCCTTTATCCCTTTGTTCAAGGCCCAGGCAATCTATATCACCATTAAGTAAAATATAGAAAGAAAAGAAGAGAGTGTCATAAATTCTGAGAGTTAGGTGGCAAGGAAGCAAACTGGCCTGGCCACCCCTGTACCTTACTTGTCACTAGGAAACTGATGACCCATTTATCTCTTTCTCCTGGAATGGGACTTTGCCTGGCACCACCTCCTTACCCACTTCCTCCAACCACCCACCACCCTCCAACCCAGCCAGCATAAAACTTAAGAGAAAAGAAAAAGATTTATTAGGGAAAGTGCAAACTTCCCTGTAGGACCCATCATACTGGGACTGCTTTAGAAAGTTTTAGGTATCTTAGAATTAGTCAGCATTAGACAAACCCCTTTGTGGCAAAACCCAAGAGTAGAACAGTGGTGTGACACCGAGGAAACACTGCCTGTGGTGCCCTCAGGGAAGAACACCCAGGTATCTGCATCTTTATCTCTGCTGAATATTTTTCATAGTTAGTTCTAAGGTGAGATGATAAACTTAAAATCTAAAACTTCTGAAACAAGATAAAATATTTTACTAAATGGCATTAAAGTCCCAATTAATTAAAAACCTTTGACGACCTCTTCTACCTACATTAAAAAATATATATATATCAAAATTTTGCTATGAACTAACGTTTAATTTTTTTGCTAACTTTTAGCAGATAATCTCTTTTTAAAGATGCATACAAAATGCCTGTGTCCAAAAAACTGAACTCTCAGGTAGAAAATTAAAACGTACCTTTATGGATTTCTGGTTCACTTTATAGTTTCCTCGGCTCAGCTTCTGAAGGGCACGGTAAGCGTCTTGCCTATGAACCATGACAATATAGGCACAACCTCTGGGAGGAATCATCTGCTCCAAAACATTCCAATATTATAAAATATAATCACACAAAAGTAAAGAACAAGATATAATACTAAGTAACCAGTTCCAACAACCCCAAACATTAACCCATCTCCCCAGTCAAACCAGTGTTCTATCACCTGAGATTAAGTAACTTGTAAACCAGCAATTTAAGTTTGGTCTCAACTAACTGCCAGTTATTAATGAGCCTACAGTCCCCTAAGCTTTATTACATGAAGACTTCTAGAAAAGGGTTTTAAATTAAACTTGGGTTATCAAAGTTGTGGTCAAATACAGAGAATGCTAAACAGAGGCTCAGAACCCTAAACTCTAGCCACACTGTCTAGAAAACCTGGGCAAGTGTTAAGTCCCAATCCTTAACTATAAAATGACAATCACACCTGTCCAACTGTCACTAAGCAATTTAATAAATACTCACATTAATGGATTCAATTGGACCAAACTCTTCTAAGAGACTGGCAACATCCTGCTGAGTAGTCCTTTTGTCCAGCTGTCCCACCCAGAGTGTGGTGCTACAAACTGAGAGTAACATTATCATCATAAACACACAAAATCACTACACTACAGAAACATGCACTAGTGACATCATGATACCTCAGGTTCGAGTAGCAAATCCCATACACATTTAAAAATTCTAGAAAACTATGGTCCTGCTTCCAGAATTGAAACCACGACAGAGAATACACAAAAGAGTTAGAGAAAACTGGCTTCTGTGAACAGATCTAAGACTTGATCCTAACTCTTGATTACCAGCAACTGGGAGCTTTTGTTCACTATGTGTAGTTGTTCCCTCCCCACCTGTCAAGTGTGTAGCATGTGTCTCTTACCCACTATGCCCTAGTAATAAGCTTTACAGAGTCAGGAGTTTTACACATGCCCTAGTCATGTAAGTTAAAATTTCAATAGCAGCTATGGATGCAGAGCACACTCTACTAAACATATTTTAAGCACATAATGAGATTCAGAAAAATAACTCAAGGTAATACAATCTGTAAATTGGAAATCTCTATAAAAGTAAGAAGATATTAGTTATTCCGGAAAAAAATAAAATAAAACCTTTCCATCATACATGAGACCTAGCCAGACTTCTTATTTCCCACACTCACTCCCCACTGCTGCTTTGCAGCTGGCTTAACATACACTTATAATGCACAAAAGCAAATCCAAGAGCATACACTAAACAAATGAGACATGATAAAGTAGGATATTGCTAACAGAAAACATTTTAAACCCATGACACGAAAAAACAATGCAGGAAGTTTGAATGTAGAGGTTCACTTACCACTTGCAGTTTCTGACTTGACTGGAGGAAGGCCTTTTTGCCGGCGCTCTCTTTCTTTTTCTCGATCCCGTCTTTCTTGGGATCGAGATCGAGGAGAATGTCGGCGCCTGTCTCTGGACCGAGATCTAGAACGTCGATGACGAGACCTTCGAGATCTAGAACCAGATCGAGAGCGCCTCCTTTTTGGTGACCTAATATTTTCACGAGGAGGGAGAATGAATAGTGTATGAAGAAAAATTTTAAACATGTAAGCATGTACTAATTGTAAAAAAAAATTAAAAATACAAGTAGGTAATTTAATAATACATGAATTCAGGGACTTTTATTTATTTTTTTAAATATGATTTTATTGATTTTAGAAAGAGGAAGGGAGAGAAACATCAATGATGAGAGTCACTGATCAGCTGCCTCCTGCACGCCCCCTGCTGGGGATCAAGCCCACAACCCGGGCATGTGCCCTGACCAGGAATCAAACCTTAATCTCCTGGATCCTAGGTCGATGCTCAACCTATGAGGCACGCCAGCCGGGCAAGGCTGTATTTTAAATGACAGAAAGCTGACAGCTTATGATAGTGCCTCTTGTTGCCAATGGCTCTAGTAGTCAGCGCAGTGCTAAAGCCATCGGCGACTCAGTGTACAGCAGCAGTGTAAGATGCTGTTACCACTGAGCTGTACTGCACAACTGTCATTGAATCTCAGTCAAGTCTTCAGCAATTAAAAATGTAATATATTTCCACTTTGTTGGCTGACAGACTTATAAAGGAATCATGATTATTATAAGAATTATTAATACAAAACTCTGATAATTCCACATATGCTATCTGTACATAGGCATTTGAGCAGCTCAAAAGGAATAAATGACCTTAGAATTTTTAAAGCACTTCTGCTCCCACTCTCTCACAGACACACAAATACACAAGTGCTATTTTATTCACCCAACCTGGAGCCAGTCCAACTCCATGCCGCCTATGACATACGGCTGGAAAACATTTTCTATAAATTACCTGGATGCTGACCTAGATCTTGACTTTCTGCTATCAGACATATGCCGCTTAACCTCTTGAATACAAGGCTGCTCTACTTTCATTTCCTTTAAAAACAAACAAAACAGACAGTGTCATTAGGTGAGGAGAGTGGAAACTGTCAACAAGGTGTACAGCAGTCCCCTCGCCGGGTCAACCCCTCGCTCTGACACACGTCTCTCTTGGTTACTTGACACCAAACTACTCGTTTAATGACCAGTGGCCTTCAGTGGGAAATACTTTTTGTATGGTTTACAAGACCAGAAGAAATGCATTACTTGGCAGGCTATGTGGAAGTTACTTCGTGTAGGTTACACTGCTGTAATAATCCATCACTAGGCGCTGGCTGGCTAGACATTCTGTACCTTGTGTTAGCCCTCAAGGGCCTTACTGACATTAGTAGTAATATTATGTCCATTTTATGGATGAAAAACTTGGGGGCCCAGAGAGGGTTAACATGTGCCCAAGGTAAGAGTCTTTCTCCATATTAAAACATGCAGATGACAAGCAAATAGGCAGGAACCTGACCATCAGCTGAGGCAACCACAGCTAATCAATGCCAAGAGTGGAGCCTTACCTGATGTGCCTTCTGCGCAAGTGGTTCGCTGGGGGCCGGGAACGGGGTCGGAAATGGCTGCGGCACAGGGGCAGCCGGAGGAAGCACTGGCTGCGCCAGGGGTGGAAACGCAGGTGTGGGGAGAAGGCCAAATCCCGTCATTTGTCCATTAGGGGGAAGTGGAACCTTTGTTTTTAAAGGAAGAGTACGAGTAGGTTTTAAGTAATAGCTACCAAAAGTAAATTTTAAAACCCCTACTTCAATATAAAACTAAAATACCTTCAATAAATTTTTATCAAGGAAAAACTACAACACACAACAGTTATTAACAATTTCCACAGATAATCATTATTCAGAGAACTGTTACATATTCAAGTATATACAGGTTAAAAGTCCTATGACTCATTTTACAATTATGAACACATAGGTTTGGGTTTTATAGATTTAAAGACATAACTTCATTTATGTGAGGAAACCATGTGACAGTGCTTAAAGTCAGAGGTACTCTGATTTTCAGGAGAAAGTGGTTAGAAGCACTGACTGACTTCTAGGTTCATTCTTTAAAAAATGTACTCTAGCCCAGCTGTCATCGCTCAGCAGTTGAGCACTGACCTATGATCCAGGAGATCACAATTCAATTCCCGGTGAGAGTGCATGCCCGGGTTGCGGGCTCGATCCCCAGGAGGGGATCATCATTGATGATTTCTATCTCTCTCCCCCTCTCCCTTCCTGTCTCTCTGAAATCAATAAAAATATATTTTTAAAAAAATGTACTCTAAGGAGACTTTCATCTAACATGTCTACTTTTAGGATTTCAAATATAACGAGAGTGAACCACAACCTAACATATTTCTGCATGTGCCATTCCAATGTCAATACACTTACAAGTATAATTATAATATCACAAAAGAAGTATTCTTTCTAAATTATTTATAAACTTTCAGGAACTGCTAAACATTTGGAAACAAGTTCATAGGTTTCCTTCATATATTAAACAGGCGTATAAAATACTTTTCAAACTTCATTCAACAAATCATTAAAATCACAGCATCAACTTCACATCACCAAATGTATAAACTGGACTGAATAAGGAAATTAATCCAGTCTGAGTAGGTTTCTTAAACCCTTTCTAAGGTCATCGAGTATTACTTTCCAGGACCAGCTGTACAACAGAATCACCGCAGAGTTAAAAACAGGGTCTCTAGATTCACAATGGCACCAGAGGGCGCGGATTTGCATTTTGAAAATGCCCCTTTCTGCCCCCATTAATTGAAATGAATGGTCAAGCTCAGGAAACTTTGAATTAGAGGATTTACTAAAATGAATCCAACGAACGAATCTCTACTAACTCCCTGCAATTCTCCTGGGTGCTATGCTCCTCAAGAGAGATTTCAAACTATGTTCCCGCACACTGAGAGCTGGAAGCCCTCTCTCTAAAGCATCTCATCGCACAGTGGGGTTGGTAGCTAATAGGCCAGTTCCCTGAAACAGAGCCATGGTCTCTCTCTAAACTACTTGAACAAATATACTTATTATTATATTATGAGCATGTAATATTTAGCATCCTTGTTTTAATTAAAGCAAAAGGCAACTCAAATCAGTTATGTGCCCAACAGCTCTTACTGCAGGTGTAGTACTATTATCCAATCATGCAGCGGAACAGGAGTCTGTAAAGTGCAACCCATGTGCTCGAATGAACATCTTCAGTTATTAAAACGCAGCTGCAAGGAAAACACCTGTACCTGGTGGTGCACTGGATCCTGCTGTATCGCCATCATCGGAGGTTGAAACGGATCCATATTTGGATGTGGGGGGTATGCTGGCTGCTGCATGCTGTCTCCAGGAAATCCGCTGAAAAAGTACAAAGTAATCCTTTTAACCAGTAAAAACCCATGAGATTCCTGGCTACGTTTATACAGAAGCATAATGTTTTCCAGGAGTCACTGACAACATTTTACTGATCATCTACTTGCCTATATATTAACTAACACACTGAGCACTATTCCCCACATAAAAGCCATTTTTTATTGTAAATCTTACAGGATTCCCTCCCCATACAGGAGAAAACCCAAAATATCAATATTTAAAAAGACCATGACTGTATATGGGAAATGACCTTGCTACTCAATGTTCCGTACGCTGTGCCTCAGGAACGCTACCAATGCCACATGTCCGGAGGAACGAGACTTACAAGGGTGCCTGTGGAGGAGACGCAGCAGGCACAGCAGCAGCGGGTGGGGCAGCAGCGGCAGGTGCGGCAGGTGGGGCAGCAGAGGCCATGCTGGCAGCAGCGGCAGCAGCAGCATCTTCTTTCTTTGATTCTTCCATAGCTTCTGGCTCATCATCATAATCAAATCGATCAAGTAGCTTCTGCAACAGGTATGTGGGTATTCCATTTTAAAATTTCAACTGCATTCGGTGCACAAAAACTTGGTAACAATGGATGTTTCCATCATCTCTAATCCCACCACGCTGTCAAGTACGATCTCATTTTCCCACAGGCCCCTAGGAGCTTGGTTCACAGACAAATCATTTTTACACAAATGCCATTTGGAAGAGTTTTTGCTCTGCCTTTCTTCCCCAATTGTAAACAGTGTTTTCTGACCACCGTCTAGGTGTCTACTTTATTGTTAACTTAGCAATGTAAGTATTTTATTGAAAGTCATGTTCCCAGACCAAAACCTTTGGAACTCTGCAAACATGACAATGGTATACATTTTCAGCAGGCTGTAAAATGTACAAAATGCAAGACCACCTCATCCAATCGCTATAAACACCCATAGAAAAATGTCCATCACCGCATGCTCAAGAAAGTCTCACCACCTGTGCACTAGCCTCTTTCTTAAAACTTCACAGGTCACCTCAGATTACCAGAAACTTTCATAAAAAAAAAAAAAGTGGGAGCATTTGGAAATAAAACTGAGATGGTACAGTTAGTGCATCGTAGACTCAGGATATAGACACTGGTCTTTTCGACTTCAAAGCCCCAGTTTCCGGCATCCAACGAGCAATCCCCGGTCTTAAGCTGTGTCCATTCTGCTCATGGATTTCCCACCTCAAATTCCTCAATTTGCAGTGTTCTGCCATAGTTCTGCTACAACTTTACTGAATAGGAGGTTTCTAGATTAGGAAGGGAGATCACGTGTTTCTTTGTAATTCTAGGCCATGTGAGTAAAAGTTCTTATTGTAACTGAGCAATTCAACACAGCCCAGACATCCTGCTGTTTTACGCACATCAGCTTATTTAACCCTCACAGCAATAAAATATAGGTGCTATCATCGCTATTTTACAGTGGTGCACACTGAATATCTAAGTAACTCAGTGTCAGGATAACATCAAATTTAAAACTCAGGTCTAAATTGTCTACAAAAACCAAAACCTATGATCTCTGCAGTTTATCACATATAAATATGCTTCTTAAAGTTTTGTTTTTTAAATATATTTTTATTGATTTCAGAGAGAGGAAGGAGGAGAGAAAGAGACAGAAACATCAATGATGAGAGAGTCATCATTGATGGGCTGCCTGCCTCCCTCCTGTAAGCCCCCTACTGGGGACTGAGCCTGTAACCCAGGCATGTGCCCTGACTGGGAATTGAACCTTGGTCTCCAGGATCCTAGGTTGACGCTCAACTGCTGAGCCATGCCCGGCCAGGCTGTTCTTTAAAAGTTTTAAAGATTTATACCTATTGCTCTGGGAAAAGATCTGAAGCAATTAAAAAATTACAAAGAGATTCATCCAAAACCACATTTTTGTTGCTTTTTAGGAAACTGAAGATTTATGAATCAGCTGAAATAAACAAATTGTCCCCAGTCAACCTGTTCGACTAGCTTAAAATAGACATTTTTAGCCATAGGAAAAGCATGGCCCTCCTTTTTCTAAACTTCATATAAAGACAAACATTGACCATCCCACTTAAGGTAAAACACTAGAGGGATTACAATTCAAATTAACAAGCTACAGATACCACTAGCATTGCTATTATTCAGCATTTTCCTGGAAGTCCTTAGCTACTAGTACATTAAAAAAGAAAAACAAACAGGCATCAATGTGGAAGAGGAAAAGTCAAAAAGAGCAGCTACCTACAAAATCTGAGAACCAACTAGAAGACTAGGTATTTAAATACCATGACCATTACAAGATAAAATAGAAACCAAGCTTTGCTTTATGGCATCATTAACCAAATGAAGTGTTATATGAAACACTAAACATGAAAAATGACAAATAGCCAAGAATAAATATAACAAATGTACAAAACATATATGAAAAAACACTGTAATGTATGGAGACTGCATTAAAAAGTGTCAATACTTCTTAACCCATAAATTCGTAAGTTCTAAAATTTATGCTCAGGTTCATCTGGAAAAGTATGCTGTGATGGTTAATTTTATGTGTCAATTAGGCTAGGTTATGGTGTCTACCTGTTTGGTCGAATATTAATCTAGGTGCTGGTGTGAAGACATTTTTAAATGTGACTAACATCTGTATTAGTGGACTCGGAATAAAGAAATACCCTCCATAACTGGAGTGGGCCCCAACCAAAGCAGTTGAAGGTTTCAGGAACAAGAACTTAGGTTTCCTGAAGAAGGAACTCTCAAAGACGGCAACACAGAAACCTTGCTTGTCACAATCCAGGCTCAAGGCTGTAACAGTAACTCTTACTGGAATCTCCAGCCTCCAGTCTGCCCTACAAATTTCAAATTTGCCAACCTCCACAGCAGCATGAGCGAATGCCTTAAAAATCAACCAAATTCTTCCTCTCTCCTTCCCGTGTGTGTGTGTATAAAACTGGCTTGATTCCCGGGAGAACCCTGACTATAACACACGCTCAAGAATAGCAACGGAAAATCTGGGGGGAAAGAGGGGAAGACACAACACCTGGAAACAAAATACGATATGTAAGTTGCAAATATTTAAATTATAATGCAAAACAAACATATTGGTGGGATAGAACAGTGGGACAGAAAGGCATAGACACAGGAGAATTTACAGTGAGGGTGAGTTAGTTCTTTCTAAAAACAAAAACTTAACTACTGTGAACCAGATTCTAAAGTAGGTTCCAAAAGAACCTAAGAGACAAATGCAAAAAACAAAAATATAAAGCTACTAGAAGAAAATACAAAAAACAAACAAACAGGTGGGAAGAGGTTTCCTGATCAAGACACAAAACAGAGGAGAAAACCAAAGTATTAAGAGTTCACCTACATCACCTGCATGGAAATAGCTCTGAAATGTGCACACGAATCTTCAGAGAGAAATGGTTTAGAGCACTCAGTGTTACGTGTGTTCTCCCCTCATGCACGTACGCCTTTTCACTCAAAATTGTATCCGACCTTCTTCAGAAAAGAGGTCATTCATAAATCACCAACACACAGCCCTGGTCGGTAGCTCAGTGGGTGAGAGCCTTGTCCTGATACACACAAGGCTGCAGGTTCAACCCCAGGTCAGGGCACATACAAGAAATCAACCAATGAATGTGCATAAATAAGTGGAACAACAAATCAATCTTTCTCTCTCTCTTTCTAAAAAAAAAAAAAAATCAATAAAAATGAATAAATAAATAAATCACCAGGATATAATGACAGTGTTTGCAGTATGGAGTCTTAATTTGGACTACCAGCATATTTTATGTAAGATTCAATAAAAGTTCTTTATCTTACAATCAGAATGCTGGAAAGAAATCACAAATCTCACAGATGATTGAACTTAAAAGTTATTTCTAGGATCTTCAAACTTGTGTTTTTTGCAGTGAAATCTGTGAAATTAAATAAAATTTTATATAGCCATAAACCAAATAGATAGAAAAGACATAAATATGAGACAAGAGTGGAGTTGTAGGGTTAACATTTCCACCAGGAGCTCTGAGCTGTGCTTACCCAGCACAACTATATACTTCCTGGCTGCCCTTAAATATGCCTTCCGAGGCCCAGCAGAGCAGTGCCCTCGTACAGGTGTGGTAACTAAGGTTTCTTAATAGCAAAAACTGGGGAGGCAACTTAAGGTCTGTTGAAGGAAGAATGGCTAGACAGGGATGTGTCCATGGAATGGAATATGCCTAACAAGCACTCAGTGAAAACGTGGGTCTAAGTCTATTAACCTTCACAACAACAAAAATGGGATGAGGTAATTAAGATCAAAACAAGCAAGTTAAAAACAGTGTATATATACCACAACCAAATAAAGGCACACGTCCAAGGAGATAAATTCTGAAATGACGCACAGCAAAATGTTACAGCAGCTATCCCCAAGTATGGGGTTTAATAGTAAGTGGTCTTGTTTATACTGTTTACTATTTTCTGTCCTTTATTTCTTTTTTTACTGAAAATTTTTGCAATGAGATATATTACATTTATAACCAGAATAGAATCATCAATGTTTTGACACTGTGGGGAATCCCTGAAACCACAAAACAACAAAACAAACAACCCACAGAGACGCTAGAGAAGGGCTAACCTTCATACCCCGAGTGCCATGAATTCGGTGGCTGTGTGAGAGGAGCATACCTTGTCGAACGCAGTGGTTTTCTGCTCAGGGGGTGGCGTGGGCGTCGTCTTTAACTGAGCAGTGATGGCCTGAACCTGCGCCATCACAGCATTGTCAATGGCAGGAGACTGTGGTTTTGGAGGCTGCTGAAAAGTCTGAAGGATCTGCTGAAGCTAAAAAAATGGGAAAACTGATAAGCTACCTAAACAAAGCATAATCACTGTATCAAAAGACATTTTACTAAAAAAAAAAAAGGACTCAAATAGCATAGGCACAGAGTAAAGTAGAAAAAAGAATCACCATTTCAATACTGGTTAATATAGCAAGGATACGGCGTGTGTTGCTTAAAGTTAAAAATGTATGCTGACAACTGCAATGGTAGAAAATAATGGTCAAAAGGAAGAGAAATACATTGAATTGTGAGCAAGGTAAAAATATGTTTATTAGAAAATGTAAAAGTCATCTCCAATTCAAGTAATTCTGAAATCAGTCCGAAAAGTCAGAACTGTGAGCAACACTGGCCACTCAGCTGCTCTGAAGTTCTCTGCAAGGGGCACTGCCCTTTCTGAGCTGTTCCTTGTTTTCCACCCCCCCCCC